GTATGCTGGACTGGAATGGGATCACCCTCCTTTTCCCTGTTTTCTGGACACCTCACACTTCCACATGGGTGTGTCCATTCCCAGGGGCCTCAGAGATGGCACTAGCCCTTCTGGAATACATCCCCTTCCTGGCTTGGGACTCCCTGTCCTCCCACATCAGTGCCAGCCTTGGACCATCCCTCTCTCCTCAAGTACAGACCTTCCATCCCCTCCCCACCTTCCGGCTCCTGGGAGGATCTCACTGAATTCTTCTCTCTGCCACAAACTGAATCCTAACAATGACCAAGAGTCCCCAAGGGACTGCTCACAGCCCAGAAGCCAGCTGTCAGGACACAAAGGCCTGGTAGCGCTTTCTGCAAGAAGGATGGGAAATCAAGGTCCCAGCCCTTTGTGCAGACATTAGAAAGCTATATAGCCCCAGGCAACCACCTCATTAAATGTTTATTTTAAAAAGTATTCAATGTATTAAAAGGTTGCCTTAGCCATCTGCAACGGTGACATCCATCTCCACTCCTGCTTTGCAGATGATTAGAACATTAGAGCCTGAGAGATCAAGGGGAAGTCCAAAATAGCATGTGTTGTCAGTTAAGTAAAGAAAGACTTCAATGTACAGTACATTTTAAATCATTTTTGAAAGTCTCAGACACCAAGTCGTCCCCAAGCACAGAGACATCTTATGGTTACACACTGTGCACTTCTGTTTCGATGTCTGGCCATCTTTCTCCAGGACACATCGGAAATGGGAAATGTTCTCTAAGACTCTTCTACCTTGGGTTGGAGCCTGGTTTAAATTAAGGAGTTATCTGGGGTCAGGGATTTAGCTCAATGGTATAAGTACCTGCCTGGCAAGTGTGAGGTGGTGAGTTCAATCCCTGGTACCAAAAATAAAAATTAAGGAGTTATCTTTCTCAAATTCTCATAAATTTGTTACATGATTAAAGCCCCCAGGACACACTGACAGGGTAAAAATGACAGGAAGACATTTTACAATTCTGAAGTCACCTCTTAGTAGAATGTTATAAGCATCATAATTTTCCTCATTTGGAAAAATTTTTATAACTTTCCAAACTCACACTTGGTACAGGACACTGTCAGTCTTCCTTGGAGGTGTAACTTCGTATCTATTTTACATTAAATTCTACCTATATTTCTGCATGGCCTGTGTGTCTGGACTGAATTTTTTCGTCAAAGGCACCAAGAACTGAGGACCAAGAAAGTGAAGGACTGATTCATTAGAACTTGGCTTCCCAGGAACATCCCTGGCTCAATGCTGATCGAAGTCATCTGCTTAGCCTCAGAAGGACGGTGCAAGCCAGTGAGCAATGTGTGGGCTCTCGCCTGGAAGCAACCCCAAGTCTTAGGACCTTCTCCATGAGGTGTTTTGCTTATAGAGATTCTGAAGTCCTTAGCACCCGTGCAAATGTGTCCTTTCTCTGGTATTCTTTTCCTTTGTACCCCTGATGAAATCAGCACACTTTCTCCAGGGATTTCATAGTATGCCTGGTGAGAGTAATTTTAATTCTGTGAATCCTCACCTCAGGGTCCATGGATGTCTCTGGTATCTTGAACAGCCACAGTGGTAGCACGACTTCCACACCAACTTGTCATGATAGGTGTGGGACCATGGCTGTGGGATTTTGCAGGGGCTGGGGGGTAGGGGGCTGGTTCTATCCCTAACACAGCATGGATAAGTGGGAATTTACAGCCAAGGAGCAGGGTGGGGGATGTCACTAAGATGAAGCAGGAGGCGGGGAAAGGTGGGGGGTACTGGCTACACTGTCCTAACAGGATTCTGGCTGAAGACAGACCGTGTGAACTGATGTTATCTGAGAAATGGAGGAGGAAGACAAAGAGGCGGCGGAGGAGGAAGAGAAGGAGGAAGATAAAAGGAGCCTTCTCAGAATTAGCGGGCATCAGATATAGGGACAGGGCTGGGGGTCTTCACTGAGCTGACAGCAGAGCTTTCTCCTAAAACTAGATTTTACAAGAATGTGTGCAACTGGTGTAGGTAAAGCCCAGGAGCATGGCTAAAGTTTAATCAAGCAAAGAATCTTCTTTACCTCCAACACAGGACTGGCACTTGTCTAAGGGAGGGAGGGACTCACGGAATAGCCTGTCGTGAGACTGTCTTTGTCTGCTCCCTGTTGCTGTAAGAGAAGATCACAAACTGGGTAACTTGTGAAAAATGGAAACTCATTTCTCACAGACCCGGAAACTGGGAGGTCCAAGATCAAGATGCTGATAGCTGGTGAGGCCCTCATGCTGCATCACATGGTGGACAGAGCAAATGTGAAAACTCAGTGTCTTCTTCTTCCTTCAAAGCCATTAATGCCATCATGGAGGGCTCACCCGCATGACCTCATGTAACCCTAATTATCTCCTAAAGTCCCCCACTCTATGCACCATCAACGCAGGAGTGTGGGGACTATCTCCAACACTTAATTTTGGGGACGTATTGAAACCAAAACATTTACTCTCGGGGATTTGCAAGCACAAGGTGGCACCTGAGAGAAGGTGTCTCCTTAAATCCTGCGCTCCAGGTGCTGCCTGCCACCCTTTCCCTGGGTTTCAACCGCAGACCACAAAATCGATCACCACACTGAACGAACCAAAAGGATTAAATAACCATTCTAGATGAGAGGTGAATAAAAAGGCATAAAACTAAATATAATTCATGATTCTTCACTGAATTCTGGATTGACATGTTATAGGAAGAACAGGGGACATCTGAATATGGACTTCATTAGGAAACAATACCACAAACAAACTTTAAGAAGAAAATAGTGTTGCAACAATGTTACCTTCCCCAAGGTGATAATTAGAATGAGGCCTCAGGAGGAGGGCTGTGTTCTTAGGAGACCCTGAGGAATGTATTTAGAGACTGGAGAAGGCTGGAGCATGGGCCCCAGAGATACCTAGCCTCCTAGCACGGATTGGTCACCGGATTTGTGAAGGAAGGGAGGTCACTCTGTAGTTCAGAATTAGCCTTTGTGTGGGGTGATGCCCTTGGCCCCTGCAGGCATCTCTAAGTCCCTGGAATGTCCTGTCCAGTAGGAGGATCTTAATTAGTCTGGAGCCCTGAGTGACACCAGATAGTTTAGCAATGTGATTTATGGGAGTGCTTTGTGATGAGCCATCAGATTTGGGGTAAGTTGTCAGAGCCTTTGCAGGAAACTAACACAGAAGTGAACCTGGTTGTTCAAGCAATATTCTTGAAGTTTGCTGTTGATTTAAAATTTTTCAAAATAGAAGACTTGGAGAGAAGGAATAAAAATGTTTACTTAACAGTAAATGTAACCGTACAGAGAAGTCAGGTGTGGTGGCGTACACCTGCCATCCTAGCACTCTCGGAGAGTGAGGCAGAGCGATCATTGCGAGTTGGGAGACCAGCATGGGTTACATAGGAAGTTCAAGGACAGCCCGAACTACCTATCAAGACCCTGTGAAGAAATGGGCTACATTTTCTTATCGAAGAACAACAAACGCAAGTCTTTATGAAATTTAAAGACCTAAGGAGGATTTAGTAGTAAATCAAAAAGCCAAAACCAAAGCCAAAACAAACAAAAATGGAACACTTTAGAGAGGCTGGGCAAGGTAACATATTCCTGTAATTCCAGCACTCTGAGAAGCAGAGGCAGGAAGATGGAATATTCTAGCCCAGACTGCATAACAGTTTTGTGACAGGGTCTTATTACGTTGCTAAACTGCCCAGAGTGGGCTCAAACTTGTGAGCCTTCTGCTTCAGTCTTTGAGAGTATGGGATGACAGGTTTGTGCTATCTAGGAGACTAGAAGTGGGATTTAAATATTTAAATGCATCCCTTGGTGGTTGGATAGAATGTAACCTTTAGATGTATATTCCTTCTTCCACAAAGAGTAGTATCTCTGCTCCCTCACTGAGTGAGGAACAAGATGGCAGAACACCCACAGACCCCAGCATCTGGGACCCTACCAAGGCGCCTCATACCGAGTCTGTTTCTGGTTCTCAGAGCCAACAAACTAGGACATTCTTAGGTCACATACTGTCATAAACTACAGTGACACAAACTGGAAATCCACCAAGGAGATATTTGGGGGCCACAGGAGGAACTGATGAAGCAAGGGAGAATAGCAGAAGAGGTTTGTCACACCAGGGTCCCAGTGCACGCTAATGGTCCTGAGATTCACTGCACCATCTCCGAATGGTCAGCTTGGGTTGTGACCCTGCCCCTGCCACTGACTCTCTCTGACCTCTCTGGGCCTGTTTCCCTTTTGCTAAGATTGGATCTAGAATGTCCCCCAGTGGCTCATCTGTTAAAGATTTGCTCCCCAACTTGGTGCTATTGAGAGGTGGTAGAAACTTTAGGAGAAGGAAGTCTAACAATTCACAGTGGCTAAAACACGAAACCTGGGTGCCCATCGGCAGACGAATGTAAGGAAAAGAGGTATATACACAACGGAGTATTATTCAGCCATAAAGAAAAATCAAACTATGTAGTCTGCAGAAAAATGGATGCAATGGGAGGTCATTATTCAAGTGACATAAGTCAGACTTAAACAAGTACTATGTTTTCTCTAATATGTGAAATCTTAAAAAACAGAAAGGAAACTGTTGACAAGAGGAAGGGAATAGAGAAATGGGAGGGAGTGTGAGGGAGGGCAATAGCAGGATGGATATGATCAAAATATGCTACAGGGCCAAGCATGGGTGTGCATGCCTGTCATCCTAGCACGTGAGAAGCTGAGGCAGGAAGATCACCACAAGGGCAAGGTCAGTTTGGGCTACATAGTGAGTTCAAAGCTAGCCTGAACTATAGAGTGAGATCCCATCTCAAAAAGTGTTACAGGCAGATATGAAAATACCATAATGGCCTATAATCCCAGCACAGAGCCAGGGAGATCACTGAGTTCAAGGCCAGCCTGGACTACATAGTGAGCTCAAGGCCAGTTTGGGCTACATAGTGAGAGCTTGTCTCAAAAACAAAACAAAACAACCCCCCCAAAAAAACAAGAGTACTGCACTGTTATTTATTACACATTTAGCCAAAATGTAGCAGCCAGAAACAATAAATAAGAGTTCTCATCCCTCACAGTTTCCGTGGTGGAGAATTTGCCTGCAGGCACCCTGGGCAGATCTGTTTCAGGCTCCCTCACGGCTTGCATTGGGGATATCCCTGCCGTGATCACCCAAGCTTGCTCCACACCAAGACGGCTCCACGCACGGTGTTGGCAGGAGGCTGAGGCACCTCTCTATGCAGGTCTCTCCACAGTGCTGCTCGGGCGTCCTCACATCACAGAGACTGGCTTCTTCCAAAGTGAGTACCCAGGGAGAAAGAAAAACACACAGTGGCAGAGTCTTTCAGGACTCAGCCTTGGAAGATGCACACTAGAGTTCCTCTTATCCGCAGGGATACGTTTTGAGATCCCCCATGCATGCCCAAAACTGGTCAGCGCTGAACCCTATATGTAACGTTGCATGATATACACATCCCTATGATAAAGCTTAATGTAGAAATTGTGATTAGAGATTAACAAGTTATAAAATGCACTATAATAAAAATTTCTAGCATTGACACTCTTGTGCCTTGGGACCTTATTAGGCACAAGAAAGGTTGCTTGGACACAAGCCCTGGAGACCAGGGTACTACTGTGACTAGGAGGCATGGATATGGTTCACATCCTCAGTAGGAGAGGAAGGATGGCAGGAGATTTTCTTACGCTACTCAGAAAAGTGTGCTTCTGAAATTTTCCCTTTAATATATTTGGAACATAACTGACCATGATAAATGAAGCCAAGAGGAAAATACTGTACCATGATTCCTACACAATCCTGTCTGTTACCTACGTCTGCCCTCTTCTGGGAGGAAAGAAATACACAGAAGCTTGAAACTCAGAAGCAAGAATCCTTAAGGGTTATCTCGAAGGCTGGCTGCTTATGAATACCTACAACTGCTGTAGTGTAGGGACTGCTATAAACCAGGTACAGTGGTTCACGCCTGTAATCTCAGCACCCTGTCAGGCTGAGGCAGGAGGATCACAAGTTCAAGTATGGCCTGGGCAATTTAGCAAGGCCCTGTCTCAAAATGAAAAACAAAGAGCTGGGTTCATTCCCCAGAGCCACACACACACAAACACACATTAACTTATGGAGCGAATTCCAGACCAGTGTGCTACACACAGCAAATGCTGATAAATGTTAGCTTTTGCTACTACTGGGCCGCAGGATAGGGGTTTCATAGTATGACACTGTCATTGCTTTTATGGTCTTTCCATCTTCAATCGAGGCCATCCTTCAGTGTCATCTGTAGTCTTCGGTTGGATATTCTTTCAAAACCGTTTTAAGAGGTCAATGAATTTATGAACATAATAATGCTTGTCCAAACTTCACAGAAAGTATACTGTATTTAGTTTCCAATGACACAGTAATACAAATAAAAAATAACACCCTGCCTCAGCCTCCCAAAGGCGGGGACTACAGGCATGCGCCGCCCCGCTGTGCTCTGCAGCTCCTTCTCTTAGCCTAGGTTACCCTCGGCTGGGTTAGAGCCTTTCTCTAAATCTAGGTCAACGCCCTTTCTCGAATCCTTCTGGAGAGATTGACGAGATGACCAGCAGGGGTCGCGAGTGAGCAGCAGTTTGGTTGCAGTCTTCGGAGCAGAGCCGATCCCCGCCGTGGTGACCGGTGTTTTCCCTGGGAGCACACAGCGTCCTCCCTGGAGATGGGAGGATTAACTGGGTCTCGGTTATAATCAGCACTCTGGAGCCTGGCCACATGAGCAGTGCCTGGCCTCTGCTCAGCCCCCAGGGAGGCCGCCCTCTGGTTGCTATGCACTTTTCACATTACTCTCCCCCGCCCCTCCGGAGTCACCACTTTCACAGACCGCATCGCCCTTTTCGTCTTTCTCACGTTCAGCGAAGACATTTGGGCTGAGCCAGGGGCACTCAAAAAGTACTTGAACACGACGAACCTGACTACAATTTTAAGAACTAAAAATTCTTAAGCCATGGTGTTCCAGATCTTAATGCCACTGGATGCCAAGAACTGCTCTAAGAGGATGCCAGCCCTGTCTCCGAGTGATCAACGCTGAAGGGCGGACGCAGGGAAAGTGAGCCGCTTTCCCAGTGTCACACGCCAGGGGGCGCCGGAAGCAAGTATCTTAGTCTTTGCAGTCTAGACTGCTTGATTTCACGGGAGGGGGGTGAGGGTGGGACTGAAAGTCACGTGACTAAATCACCGTTCTTTTAGTGCTGAATTGACTCCAGGCAATTCTTCTCAGTCTATCTGCTTTTGCCTGAAAAACTGGGATTGAGGAGAGGTTGGGATCGGTTACCCAACCCTGGAAGTATGGATTGAACCTAGGACCTTCACACTGAGCTACATCCTAGCCCTTATTTTTAATTTTAAGACGGAGTCTTGCTAAATTGCCTAGATTGCTCTGAAATTTGTGATCCTCCTGCCTCAGCCTCCCAGGGTGATGGGAGTACAGGCTTGCACCACCGTGCCCAGCTGGGAATTTCTTTGACAGCAAGAGTGAGAAGTAAAATTAGAGATAATAAGGCTTCCTTTACAATTTCTGAGGTGGGCAACTGGTGCTGTAGGAATTTGTAACAGCGAAGTTTCCTCAATTTCAGAGAAGTGTTCCCTGGGGCAATGATGCTTCAGCAAACATCTGAGCCAGCGGGAAGGGAAGTAGCCTTGCAGAGGTGCTGGGCCAGCAGGAACCGCAGGGTGTCTGAGCTCATTTTCTATAGTGCATTTTTCTCCCCATGGGACCATTCATAGCAACTGTTAGCTCCTCTGTCAGTGTCAACCACCTGGATAAGTCACAGCCATTGCTTGACCAGGTTGCTTTCCATGAAAGCTTAGGAAACCATTTTCTTGCAGTGACTGTCCTTAGGCATATTAGACATCAATGATCACTTCCCTCCGTGGTCTCATGGTGGTCTTGATGAGAAGTCCCGGGCCTCCTGAGTAGAGGATGATTCAGCAGAGGTTCTCTCATGTCCTGGGTCCTCACTGACCTCAGAGAGCTGGGACTAAATTATTGGCTGTCCTCTTAGCGGTCTGTCTCTCTAATATTTGGTCTCCAAACTTACTGAACATCCAAAAGAAAAGACTGATAATAGTACAGAGTAGTAGAGGCAGTAAGTTTAACATATTATCCAAATATCAAGCATTTAGGAGCATAAAATAGAACCATTATTTTCAGGGGCTAGGAATTTAGCTCAGCGGCATAAGCACCTGCTTTGCAAGCGTGTGGTTGTGAGTTCGATCCCTGTTACCGATTAAAACAACCATGGATGTTTTAACATTTGAATACCGATAGAATGTTAATAAACATTTATACATTTTATACATTAAATTAGAAATCAAAACCCATACCTAATATTACAGTATGACAATCATGATGACATTTTGTAACACCCTTGAATTTCCATTTTTGATATAAAATATCCTCATACAGTCAAACCTCCTTATCTAATACATAAGAAGTTTTTGCGTAACTTTTTGGCCTTTAGTTGGATGTACGTCACATAAGTTTTTGTTAAAGGCAGAGGTCTGAAAAGTCTGTCACCATAAACAAGCCATTTTACATTTCTATAAATCTGGAAGCATGGGTACATTAATATACCATGAGGTTAATAATAATCATTTGTCATAGCCATATGAAAAGTTTGTATGAGTCTCTTTAAATCAAAAACCTTATTTTCTGGGAAATTTAATCTTTTTTTTAAATAATTTTTTTGTCTTTTTCCTTTTTATCGGTACCAGGGATCGAACTCACGACTGCCTGCTTGCAAGGCAGGCATTTATGCCGCTGAGCTAAATCCCCAGCCCCTGAAATTTAATCTTTTGATGATGACCAGTGTGAACATATCACAGTAAGATACTCTTTTTTTCCAGTACCAGGGATTGAATTTACAACCTTGCGCTTACCAAGCAAGTGCTTAAACCGCTGAACTAAATCCCCAGCACAATAATGTACTTTTATAACTTTAGTTAAGGTATCTCCCATAAGACTATGGAGATCATTGATCAAAGAACAAGAACTGGTTAAATATTACCACGCAGCTGCTTTCTTTCTCGTCAGTTGGAGTCCTGTCCAGAAAGAGCACCCAACAAACAGGCAAGTTTAGCTGGGAAGAAAAGTGCATTCTGTGAAATGAATTCGGACACCTGGTGTGCCCTGCTGGCCCAGCACCTCTAGGAGGCTACTTCCCTCCTCTCCTACCTTGTTTGGCTCAGATGTTTGCTGAAGCATTGCCCCAGGGAACACTTCTCTGAAATTCAGGAATCTTCTCTACTATAAACTCCTACGGCACCACATAGTCCTCCTGGGCTGCAAAAATCACAGTTACATTTATATTATTGTACTTCTTTTTCATGTTAGGGATTGAACCTAGGGCCTCATGCTGGGCCACTGAGTTGCATCTCAGGCCCATTGTTGCACAGTTTTAAAATTGTTGTGAAGACATTACTTTTGCTGTTTAATCATTTCTAAGGGTACAGTTCAGTAATGTGAAGCATACTCACATTGTTATGCAATCGGTATCTAGAACTTTTCATCTTACAAAATTGAAACTCTATATCCATTGAACAGTAATCTCTTTCCTTTCTGTAAGTTTCTGGCAGTCATTGTTCTTATTTTGCTCTGTTTTGAGATAAGATCCTGCTCCATAATTCAACCTGGCCTTGAACTCACTGTGTAGCCCAAGCTGGGTTTGAACTCCTGGTGATCCTCTTACCTCAGTCTCCCAAGTGCTGGATTGACAGACGTGTGCCACCACGCCCAGCTGGCAATCATCTTTCTATTTTCTCTTTCCAGGATTTTATTTTTATCTGGAGATAGGGTCTCATTAAATTTCCCAGACTGGTCTTTGTGATCTTCCTGCCTAGCCTCCTGAGTAGCTGAGATTACATTTGTGTACCAGCTTGCCGGCATCTTTCTGTGAATTTTGACTCCCTTGGTATTTTGTGTGGGTGGAGTCGAGCCATATTTGTCCTTTCATGCCTTGGTTATTCCAGTGTCTTTGAGAATCATGTTACAACTGCTGAAATATTTCCTTCTTTTTAAGGACTGCACTGTAAGAATAGAATACTTTTTTTTTTTTTAATATATCTGTGGGTAGACCTTTGGGCTGCTTACAACTCTTGGTCGTTGTGAATAATGCCACAAAGAACATGAATATGCAAATACCATTTTGAGATCCTGCTTTGAATATGCACCCAGGAGCAGGGTCAGCAGATCACATAGAAGTTCTATTTTGCATTTGTAGAAGCATCACCCCACTATTTTCCAGAGTCACTGCACCAATTTTACATTCCCATGGCAGTGTACAATGTCTACACCCCCACCCCATTTATTTTCTGTTCTTTTGAGAGTGGGCAGGTAGGTATTAGGTGTGCTTTCAAATTGGTGTGTGTGTACACGAGGACTGAACCCAGGGCCTTCACACTGAGCTACGTCCTCAGCCCTATTTATCCTTTGTTTTGAGGCAAGTTCTGGCTAAATCTCTAAATTGCCCAGGTTGGGCTCACATTTCCAATCCTCCTTCCTCGGCCTCCCGGAGGGCTGGGATTACAGGCCTGCCCCATCATGCACTCTGTGGTTTTGATTAGCGATCATCTTAAACTAACTCGCGTTTCCCTTACGGCGTGGCTGGCGGCCAGCGTCTTGCGGGGCGCAGTGCGCCTGGCGTCTGGCGCTCTCCTCCGACTGCAGCGCCGGCAGCGAGCGCCGCTGTGGATGGGAAGCCAGCTGGGAGCCAGAGCGCGCCACCTGCGGGGTGCAGGTGCAGGAGCGGGCCCTTCGCGGAGGAGGAGAGGCTGGGACACGGGATTGGAGAGGACGAGTTGCCAGGTACGCTGCCGGCTGCCAGGGGCGGGCGCGGAGGAGGCAGAGCATCGGGGACTCTCCGGAGGTGGTGGGGGGCAGCCTCTGCGGAGGGCCCGCTGGCAGCGGTGGGAGGACCAGTTGCCCCCATTATTCAGGTGCTTACTCCACCGTGCCCACCCGGTAAGGTTTTTGTGGGTCTGGAGAGGTGGGTCAGAGCGCAGGCTTTGGAATGTCTATTTGCTGTGCAGCTGTAAGCGAGTTACTTGCCCTCTCTGAGACCCAGTTTCCATCTCTGGATGGAACTGAATAGGACTTCCTGCACAGGGTTTGTGTTGAGCGTTCCGTGTGCTGGGGACCCAGGCCGTGCTTCCTGAATGTTAAATGTTGTTTCCTGTGGGATAATGCCCTGCATGTAGGTCTCCTGTCCCATTTTATCTATCAAGAGACAGGTCAGAAGCCTCAAGTAATTGGCCCACATTAATTGAGAATGGTGGCAGTTTGAAGCCAGGAAATCAGACTCCAGAGTCTGAAGATTAATGATCTAGTCCAGGTCCCATTGTGCCCTAGAAGAAGGAATGCTGGGTATGCTACTTTTGAGACTGTTTCCCCATCAGTGAAACAGATGCAATAATAGTACTTAGCCCCTGGGGTTCTTGTGAGGATTAATTAAGTCAATCAACACACATAGGTGCCTCTGATTAGTGCATGCCTCTGCCAGGCCAGGATTCCTTTCTGTGTTATGGCAGCTGCATCCCTGTGCCTGGCACAGGGCAGATGCTCAGTAAATGTGCCTGCTTGTCCCAGGCCACTGCAGGAGACTGCTGTTCAGAGAGGCTGGAGAATGTGCCCAAGTTACACAGGTAGAAAAGTTGGAACTTGAATCCAGCTCTGTTCATCATGGAATCTGTGTGGTCTTTTGCTCATAATTCTAGTTGAGTACCTTTTGGCAGGGGGAAGGAGATAAAGAGTTATTTCTGCCATAATTTTCTTACCTGAAAATGGAGAGGATTACAGTATCTGCCCTGTAAGTTTTCTGTGGGGATTAAATCAACTCTGAGATAGGAGGGAGGCATGGTACTGCAGATGTGGCCACTGAGGGAAGGGCAGAGGGACAAGGGGGAGGCAGTGGGAGACAGATGAGACAGGAGCCGTCCTGCCTTCTGAGCAGGCCGAAGCGCCCATAAACCCCAGAGAAGCCTGCAGACTCACCACTGGCATGTGTCCATGGTCCCTGCTGTCTCTCCCAGTCACTGGGAGACCTCTCCAGGACCTCGTGGCAGCAGACGCATTCTGCTTTGGGATTGCATGTTCTGCCTAGTCCAGTGGAGCCTGGATCCCAGTGTCATCTCTGAGCCACTCTGGGACCTGGGCAAGTTGCCTTGAAGCCCCAGGCGCCTGTTGGTAAGATGGAAAGATAACTGAATCCCGTAAGGTGCTGGAGAGAGGACCTGAACTCAGGCTTAGAAAGCACTGTGAGCAGGTCCTGGTCTTGAGCAGTGACCACTGCCTGTGGTCCTGTTAGCAGGGCTTGCTGTGGGCCTGGGATCTGTGGCTATGTGGAAAAAATCCTGCCAGGAGGGTTTAAAAGGTACTTCCCTGGGGCCTCTGTGCATCTCCAGTCTCCTTCCAGGGCTCCCCACCTGCCAATTCCTTGGGAGGCCCAGTGCTGCCCTTACCTGTGCCCAGGCAGTTTCTGGGGCAACAAAGCTGGCACAGGATGGGAAGGGCACCGTGCCACCTGCCTGGAATATGGTGTATCCCCTAACAGGGCCCAGGCTGGGGGAGGGAGCCTCATCTTTCCATACTGTGTTGGTCATTAACATCTGTTCTGTGTGTAAGCACAGTGCTAAGCCCCCAGCTTCACACACTTTAGCAGTTGGGCCCCAGCCAAACTGCCTGGGTTCAAATGTTACTTTGGTTACTTCGTAGCAGTGTGACCTTGGGCCAAGTAGCTTAACCACTTTGTTCTTCAGATGACTCATCTGTAAGCTGGAGTGGTCCTTAACAGTGTCTAGCTTGTAAGGCTGCTATAAAGAGTCAGTACAACCAACACATATATAATGAGAGGAACAGTGGCATGATAAATAGTCATTTTTAATATATTACAATTAGCTCCATCTACAGCTGATGGAAGGTCAGGAAAACTGACCTTTATAATAACAGAGTTGACCTTTCTTGCCTTACCTCTGTCTATTTATTTCTATTTCCTTTGTTACCCTAATTTATCCCTCCCCCGGCCACGCCCATCCTGGCACAGTCCCCAGCCGCTATGTGTGATCCCTGCTTCTTCTGTCTGGGGCCCCAGAACATGCTCTGTCAAAAAGTCCTCCTTCTCTCTCATCGTAAGAGTTCCCCAGTGGCCTCCGATATAGCGCTTTTTCATTCACCTTTCCTATGGTTTTATACAATTACAAACACCATGTATATACACCTTACTTGTAGAGTTTGTTTATAAAAGTACTTGCCTAGAAGATGAAAAACTGCCACCTCATCACCTGTTGGTAATTGCTGTTTAGAGTTTCATGCATGGGACGTTATTTTAAAAAGACAGCTTTTTGATTAAAATGTTTTACAGTAAAAGACACACAGCTGTCAATCCCCCTCACAAGAATCCCCCTCACTTTGAACACACTTACTGTTCTTGCCACTTTTAAGCAGCACTTGAACTGAGTGTTCAAGCCTAGCTCAGGTAATTTAGCAAAACCCCATCCTGAAATAAAATTTTAAAAGGCTAGGGATGGGGTATAGCTTAGTGCAGAGGCCCTGGGTTCAACGTCCAGAACCACAAACACAACAATAACAAACAAACAAAAAATGTCTATAAATTCTGGTCTTGTACACACTTAGCTATGCACAGTCAAAAGTGGTAAATGAGGAATGAAAGAAATTACAGTAGTAAATTCCTATGGTTCAAAATCCCTGACTGGCTGCGTGGCATAACCCTCCAACCAGGTCATCAGCTAGCTTACAAATTTACTAAGAAAAAAATCCATAGAGCATATCTTGAAGAGAATCAAGAAGCAGGAAGATTATGTAGATCTGATTCGTGGTCACAGCCCCTGGAGAAGGAGCAGGAAACTTCCAGTGATGACATTTCCTTGATGTACACTTAAAGTGAAAATGGAATTAAATTCTCCTCCACTGAAGACTCTTCTGGAGGCTGTGTTGCTCTGCAGAGTAACACTGTTTTACACATGAACGGCCAGACGCCCCCTCCACCCCCTTGGGAGAGACCCAAGGCCAGTGCTGGCCACATCCCTCTGCGACAGCTGGCTGCAGCCACACCTCCGAATAAGCCTCCCCTTGGTGTTCCAGTCCCATTTCTCACCGCATTGCAAAGCTGGACTGAGCTGCTGGAGCAGCACACAGCGCAGGCAGCCTAGGCAACCTGAGGCCCAGATGGAGGTGAGCGTGTCCAGCAGAGTGTGTCCAGCATGGGGGGTTGGGGACCTGGGGGTTGGACAGGGGAGGTGGAGGCCCCTTCGGAGAGCCACGCCTGACCCAGCTCTTTTATTTTTAATGAGTCCCACAAAGATTCAAATGCCATGGGAAAAGGAACTTGTTTGGGCACTTAAAAAAATATAGGAATCTTACCCAGCCAGCCCTGGATTATCTACTTTTTTCTTTCTTTCTTTCCATATAACTAAGAAATCTCCTTCGCACAGAAAACCCTGCAGGGAGAATTAGCAGTCTTCGGGGTTTCCTGCTAGAAACTGGAGTCCCAGGACGCTGGGTACAATCTGAGCACCTTCTTTCCTAAGTCACTTTACCAAAACTTGTACTGGTAGAGAATTCAGTCCTCCCATTTTGCATACAAGAAGTTGAAACTGAGGCACAGAGGGGTTGAACAATTCAAATACATTTAAATTATAGAGTTAGTTTTGCATCCCAGTTGGCCTCCCTTGGAATGTGGGCTGATATCAGGTGCCGGCCCTTTATCTCTGCGAGGGACAAGGTACTTATTATGTAATCATAATTACAGAGTCGGATTGCAGGGGCTAATGCTGCAGGGAGCTATCTTCGGCAGCTAGTGCCTGGGGGTGTCTGTTAGAGCACCCCTTTCTAGAGAATAGCTTGTTGGATTAATGATTTCAGCCCGTCTCTTCTGCAAGGGGAAAAACCTTAAGTAACTTACTTCCTTATGATGTCTGAGAAATAAAATAACCTCTGAAAGGGACTTTGCTCTTTTTATTGCACTGATGTAGAGGGAACACTGATTAAAGGGCACAGCCAGGTTCAGGAAGAAATACATGAGTTGGAAGCCCAGTCGGGTTCTACCTTAAGCCTGGTAACATGGGCACCACCGCAGTGTTGTGGGTGAGAGACAGATCTGCATGTTCACAGGTAACAGGCTGGGGGAGGTGAGAACCAGGGTGAAATGAAACATCGAGTAAACATTTCTCTCTTCCTGGGAGCAGGGTAGCAACCAGTGTAGCAACAGGGGCCAGCAAAATGATATTTATTGGGTGGGGCCGTGTGGGGTAGGGGATCCCCCATCTATCTCCCTGGCTTTGATGAGAGTATGAAGGGAACTCATCTGGATATTTCTGCAGCTCTGAGGACAGATCAGAGAGAGATGGAGGTGGAGGTCACAGAAACACTAGAGATCGCTTGAGAATGTGTACTGGAGGAGAACAGACCTCAGGGCTGTCCTGTTGCTTTTTGTTGGATGCAGGAACAGAATAGATGCATAATAAATGTTTGTTAGAGGAAAGACTGACTGATGGGAAGGGGGAGGCTGGAGAGCTTGTTGTTATGAGCGTGAGCTCTCAAGTTGGTGGCTGAAAGTGGAATCCAGGCCCTGTGAGGCTCTGGGTAGCTCCTGTGCCCATCGGCCTTGGTGTCTTTATTTATATGCAGAGGTTAGAGGCCAAAAGCACTTCCCTCCACATATGATATCGGAGCTGAGAATATATGGGGCGTGATATGCATTCAGAAAGTGCTGCTTGACTTCCTTCACTTCTTGTCTTTCTCTTCTTCCCCTGATGAGCAGTGGTATAGTTGAAGGCCATGAGTAAAGTTCAGGGTCTGCACGCAAAAAGTGTAAGTTTTCATCTCCTGTTTATCTGTGTGACCTTGGCTGAAATGAATCAGTTAACCTCTCTGGGTTTCTTTGTGATCGTCGTAAAACAGAAACTCCGCAAGGTGGTTTGAAGATTCAGTTGCTAAGGCATTTGGAGGTCGTGGCATTTGGGAATCTGATGGCACATGTTTGGTACGTGCTGTTGCCTTCATGTTTATTAGTATCGGCATTGTCGTTGTCTGCATTTCTTCTGTACTGGAGAAAAGCAGAGGTGCTCGTTGGAGATGACTGTCAAGTGGGGCTGAGAGTTGTGTTTTACCAGGAAAAGTCCTCTCCCCAGGAGACAGTATCAGGCAGAAGGCATAAATGTCTTAATCAACGTTTAGTGACTCACTTGATGTATGTTTTTGACAAGATTTCCCAGAACAAGGTGACAAGAGATGACTATATGATTGCTAAGGTCCAATGTCTGCAGAGGTAAGCCCCAGCTGTTGGAATTATCAGGTAGCATCATTTCTGTGAAGCAATTAATTGGAGAAGAAATAATATTCCCATATCTTTATAAATGCTAAAAGAAATCCTGTTGCCTATGGTATTTTGATATGAGTATGGCTTAAAAGAAAAAAATAAAGGAGAAGCAGAAGTTCTATTTCTGTAATTAAGAAAAAGAATCAGGAGTTCATAGTCACCATTCCTAACTTTTGATGTTATTAGCAAATTAAATGCAAAATAGTGCTGGATGTGGTGGTCCATGCCTTCAGCACTTGGGAAACTGAGGAGGATCATAAGTTTGAACCCATCTCGGGCAATTTGGTGATTTACCAAGACCCTGTCTCAAAATAAAAAGTGAAGGACCTGGGTTCTATCCTCAGTACCAAAGAAAGAAAGAAAGTTTTCAAAGTAGAGATAGAAATTTCACCCTCAGCAGAGACTTGAGTTATAAATGTATAATCAGAGGCAAAACAATGGAAATGTGAGGAGCTGGATGGGGGTCCCCAAGAAGACAGCTTGATTTGCCCTGAGAACTGTCCTTCCTGCAGTGAGAAGACACTTAGGTTTCTGGTCCATGTGGAGTTGGGCCAGAAAGGAGCCCAAAGGACAAACCAGTAATTCTGATGCTCTTAATTTAAAATATCAATATTTAATTCCTTATGGATTCTGTTATGGTTTGGCTTTGAGGCAAGTACTAGGATTTGAACCCACTGCCTTCACACTGAGCTATATCCCCAGCTCTTTTTACTTATTTTATTTATTATTACTATTATTATTTTCAGGCAGAGTCTCGCTAATTTACTAATTTCCCCATCTAGGGTTCAAACTTTAGATCCTCCAGCTTTAGCCATCCGGGTTACTGGGATTACTAAAGGCTTGACAATTTGTGAAGCTTTATTAGAGGGACACACAGAGGACACAGACAGTAGGAGGGAGCAATGTCCTCCATGGGTGTCTCTGCAGGGAGGGATCAGAATACAGAGTTTACATGAGAGATTAAGGAATTTTGGCTCAAAATCATGCTAGTTTCTTTTAGGACTTGCCACAACCACCTAAGCATCTTTATCTGTGCCTAGAAAGGTTTGGGTTCCTGGCTTGGGCTTCCTCTTGTTGGGAAAATTCTGCAGCTGGCTGGATCGCAAGGTGATCATAGCACTCCAATTTTTGGTCAGGACAAGAAAGGAGGTGGGGTTTTGAGGATCCTAAAATCCTACTATAGTCTCAGATGTTGGGAACCCTTCCTCGGTGTGGAACCCTTCCCACACTGACCTCCTCCTCCTCCACCTCCTCCTCCTCCTCCTTCTCCTCTTCCACCTCCTCTTCCTCCTCCTCCTCCTCCTCTTCCTCCTCCTCCACCTCCTCCTCCTCCACCTTCACTTCCTCCTCCTCTTCCACCTCCTCTTCCTCCTCCTCCACCTCCTCCTCCTCCACCTTCACTTCCTCCTCCTCTTCCACCTCCTCTTCCTCCTCCTCCTCCTCCTCTTCCTCCTCCTCCACCTCCTCCTCCTCCACCTTCACTTCCTCCTCCTCTTCCACCTCCTCCACCTCCTCCTTCTCTTCCTCCTCCTCCTCCTACTCTTCTTCCTCCTTCTTTCCTAGCACTGAGAATTGAACCCATGGCCTTCATACTGAACTACAGCCCCAGGCCCCTACTCCCTTTAATTTTATTTTGACACAGGGATTCGCTAAGTTGGCCAGGTTGGGCTCCAACATTCTCTTGCCTCAGTCCTCAGAGTGCTGGGATTGCACACAACGTCCAGGTGATTCCAGAACTAAGTAGCTCCTTACCCTGTGTACTAGCATTGAGTGTTATGGTGAGCCAGGTGAAGACAGAGCAAGAAGCAAGTTGATCACGCTGAAGGTACTTTTCCTCGTAAAGATTCAAGCAAGAGGGAACTTTGTTATCATGTGAGCAGAAACTGTCTTGTTCAGGAACTTGACGATAGCCTTTCTGTTTCCTTAAACCTCAGGTAAATAACAGTTTTGTCTTGGAAATGTGGGACTTTAACATGAGTGATTCCATTTTGGTTTGGTTCTGTTGGGCCTAGAATGCAAAAGCTCAGTCCAAACTGAAAACTCTACTTAATACTCAGTCTTCTGACTAATCGGCTATAAAGTAAGGGTTCCCTCTATTTACCAGGTTAAATCACTTGCTTGCATGGCCTACCCAGCTCCGGAAAACATTTTCATTCTTGTTCACCAGTTTACTGTAAAGACTATGATAAAGGATACAGATAGACAGACAGATGAAAAAGGACATACAATAAGCTCCAGAAGGATGTTGGGAGGACAAACTTCTGTCCCTGTGGAGTTGGGGTGTACATTAACCACAAGCTGTGTCTAACTTGGAAGCTTCCTGAACCCTGTGTAGTTTGGAGATTTGTGCAATGGCTTTGTCACATAAGCTTGACCTGTTACTATGTGGTCTCTATCGAGTCCCTGAGAAGTGGGGTGGGGCTAGAAGTTCCAGCCTCTAACCATGGCTTAGTCTTTCTGGTGACATCCAGAATCCACCATCCAGGAATCCACCAAGAACCATCTTGTTAAGGCCAAAGAGGTTTTTATCTCCCAGGAAATTTCAAGGGATTAGGATTAGGACCTTTGTCAAGATTTGAGATTAAAGTTATTACTACTATTACTTTTCAGGAGTGTGCTACTTGGGATGGAACCCAGGGCCTCATGCATGTTAGGCCAGTGCTCTACCATTGGGCTGTATCCTAGTCCTTTGTGAAAACAATGTTTCAGGGGTTGGGGATTTAGTTCAGCAGCATAAGCGCCTGCTTTGCAAGTGCACAGTGGTGAGTTCAATCCCCGGTACCGATTAAAAAAAATTTTTTTTTGAACTTTTAAGACAGAGTCTCACCAAATTGCTTAAGCTGGCTTTGAGCTTGGTATAAACTGCCTTCAACTGCCTCGA